ACACACACACACACACACACACACACACATATAAGAGCACACACACACACACACACACACACACACACACACACACACACACACACACACACACACACACACACACAGTTGTGTTGACGTCATGAGTTCATAATTGCTTCCATCTGAGTCCCGTATATACGGGGTCTTCATTTGAAGGGTTAACTGGTGGGATAAGCCTGAGGCCTCCCTGTGTGGTGTGTGTGTGTGTGTGTGTGTGTGTGTGTGTGTGTGTTTAAGTACTTGACATAGTTACGGTGTGTGTGTGTGTGTGTGTGTTTGAAGGTAATCCTCTCAACCTTTAAAAAGTAGCCTATATGAGTAGTAGTAGTAGTAGGGTGGGGGTGGGGTGGGGGGTTCTCCATTGTGACTCCATGGAGGCTTCAAACGAGGGCGGCCATCTTACTGTGACTCCCGTCAGCAACAAGGTCGACCGATGAACCACACCGACTCTACATTCACTCGTTTTTAAAGAAATGACAGTTAATCCTGTTCGGATCCGTTCGGCCCAATATTTCATCTTTTAGTTTTCAGGTGAGTCACAACAGGTGAGACGAGGGTTGTGTGTTTATTTTACCTCTTAAAAAAAAAGAAAAGGTAAAAGTTTAATGAAATCACAACCTAAATCTAATTAGTCACGTTCGAAGACCCCCCCCCCCTCAGCGTGGCTCACGGCTCCATTGTGTCCTCATTTAAACCCCATACAAGGACACGGTGGTGGCGTGGGGGGGTGTGTAAACCGGTGACTCCCCATTTCCTCGCTACTGTTCAGATGCAGGTCCACGGCCGTTGCGGCGCGCTGCAACAGGCCCGTCGACGCACATTATGGGAATCGACCTCATTCAGGCGTTGATGTAGGTTCATTGGAGTGAAGATGAGTCATCAGCAGCGTGAGTCACTCATCGTGTAACGCTGATAATTCACCTCGCAGCCCGAGGCTCGTTCTACTGGCTCGACTTCTGTGAGTTTAAAACCAGCAGGATTATTAAACGTGTTCAACTTGAGGAGCGTCCAACATAAAACTGCATTTCTGTTAAAGACTATTGAGACCGAAATGAATGAAGTCTGAGACGCATGTGAAGAACAGAATATTTAATCTAGAAATATATAATAACCCTGGAAACCTCAGGTTATCTCTCAAACCACAGACAGAGAGTCTTCACCACAGAAAAGCTGAGTTTACCATCTCGACACTGTAATTATGTCGTCCTTCCCAGGAAACATCCTGGAGTCATTCAGAAATGATAAATTAAGTGTTATGATTGCGACTCATTATCTAGGATTCTCTTGATGTGATGAGTCGATGGGTAATAAAGATGTAAGTGATCAGTATGAAGGTTTTGCTGGAAGCTTTAAAAACAAAAGCAGCACCTGTGTTTTCAACTCAAGTTAATCGCTAAAGTAAAAGACAACAAGTTAAACCCCCACTGAGGTCGATGTGTTCTTCTCTGTCAGAGTCCTGCCATGTCAATAAACTGCCCCTGACCTTCAAACCCCCCCCCCCCCCCCCATGGTGAAATGGGGAGGTTTGCGGTGACGGAAGAGATCTGAGATAACAACTTACTGCCCGACAGGCGAACTGAGACCTGCCCTGACAGGTCCGCTTCATTCAGCAACACACAGGAGGAAAAACACATCCAACACCGAGAAACTTTGTTACGCTTCATGTTGGTGTTGTGATCCCATCTTCTCTATGTTCTCCAGCTGGGACGGGAAACTGAAAAACACGAAAGCCTGCAGGAGGATGAAGTGATGTGTTGCTGTGTTACTGTACAAACAGAACAAAAATGTGCTCAGCCTGCACAGACTGGCACCAAGTGTGTAAACAGTGGTTACGTCACTGAGCAAACATGAAAACCAGCTCTCATGGTGATTTAAATAACACTGAACGTCTCATCTATTAAGGCTACGTTCATCCAGTCACAACAGCCTGATGCTCAGGACCTGGACGTCGTGACGCGCACACGTGGATCTCAGATGTTGGAACAGTCCAAGTACGACTTTAATCAAAGTTTGTCTTTTACCAGGGTATGCTAACTCTAGCTAGCTAAACTGAGCAGGGCAGCATAGAAGCAATAATGACGACATGAAGACAGAAATGAAGTTGATTAAATGAGTGGAGTCAGGCCTGCTCCTTAAAAAAGCCTTAATTGAATTGTTCACTCTTAACAACTTAACAAGTAGAAAGGAGAGTTGAGCGTCAACAAAAAAACCTAAAGAATTTTGGGGGATATTCTGTTCAACTACAGCCGATCTCCTGCTGCTTCTGCACATGAGAATGAAACTCCACAGAATCACTGCCGCAATCCTAAACTGTCCTCAAACTATTCTCAGCCTGTAACGGACTCTCTGCCGCACAAACTAAACCTTTACAGTGGACTGGTTTGGTGCAGGAGAAAGCCACAAGTCAAAGCCAACATCCTGAGAAAACCAATTAACAACAGAATAATGAGACGGTACTTGACGTAGCCTAAATGTACAGAAGGAGATGCTTAACCAATATTTCCCAGAAAGTAGACTCATGAAGCTACGTCTCTGCTAAAGTCGGTTTTCTGCAAAAAAACCAAAGTATAACCCAAAGTTCTTCTTCTAGGCGGTGAACCACATTGTTTATCAGTCAACTCCAGAGCCACTTAGGATGCAGAGATGCCCTGCTTGTCCTCCCTTCAGTGATTCACAGCCTCATATTTCTGCCCAATGTGGCGGATGTGGGTCGAAGCCAAGCCGAAGAGTTTTCAGCCAAACAAACATATTGAACGGAGAAAAGAGGGAAAGGAAAACTCTGTTTGCAGTGTTGATGCAAGGCACGTTAAGTATTTAATCTAACATTGCAACACAACATGGAAACAACAGCGGAGTTGCACCATGACAACGATACAGTGAGAACGTCAGCGTCTCAACAAACCTCCTCTCTGGACTGAAGAGTGTTTCTCTTCATAATTTAAATCAAAGATAGCTTCTTACATAAAACAAGACTTTAAACAGTAATCAGCTCAGATGACCTCTGATCTGAGACTCAGTCGACCACACAGGTCCGAGCCAAACAAAGCTCTTTGTTGAATAAAATCCATTTTAAGTATCAAGCTTGTTTCCCCTCGCTGTGTCAAAACACGAGCATGTGACTCACACATCATCACATGTGACAGAAGCAACTGATTAAACTAACAAGCTCCTCCTTCACCTCCAGGTCGACCTGCAGGTTTACAATTTAAATTAATTCAGGACGTAATATGGAAACTGACATTTACCGGCCACAAACCATTTCCTGCTTCCCTCTGAATAAAAGAGACGTTCATAACGAGGACTTGATCAACATCTTCATTCTGAATAAATTTATCATTTGGCTTTAAAAAAAAAAAATTTCACTGCAGTTTGACAACGACAGCTGCAACGCTGTTTAACCCCGAAACACCAAAATCAGCACAGCAGTGAGTATTCTACTGGCATTTGTTTGAGTGAACTATCCCTTTAAAATCCCCTTTTCTTTGGCCTTTTTGCTTCCACTCTGGCCTCAAACGCAAGAACTCAAACTGAAAATAATAAGAAGGTCACTTCCTGTCCTGTCACTCCTCACCCCCGGCCCTTGTCCTGGTTTCGCTCATCTCAGCGTTGAGGTCCCAAACTCTCCAGCTCCCCAATAGTCCACAGATGCTGAAAGGCGGACTGTCAAGACACCCGCCACCCAGCCTTTGGCTCTGTCCCTTCCATTGACAGCGAACAATGCCGCCGGACGCCTCGAGAGCATATCAATGACCAAGGTAACCGGGGATAAGCCTCCAACAGCCTCCCTTCATTAAACCGAGGGAAACAATCCCTCCATCTGCCAACACAGACAGAGGCATCTGTTCCTTTCACACAGCGGCGTGGAGGAGGT